GCTTGATGTCCAAATCTGTTCTCCACCTTTCTGGATTGGTGTAGACCGACGAGAAAGTACTGGTATCTAACCTCCCTATCGCTAATTAGGCCGCTAGGCTTGCTCTTTTATGCTCTTTTGCTCTATCACAGCTTTGTAGGCGACCAAACCCGCCCATTGATGTCGGTCATGTTGCAATGCGTGGTGTCGATGTGGACTCTCCGCAAAAAAAAATCTTGCCGAGCTGCACCAGCCACAGGTGTCTTATTTCCAGGCGCATAGACAACTAACGAGTTAAAGCTGAATGCTTCAGTCACATCCTCAGCATATCTGACAGAACTGTGATGCTCCTTTCAAGTCCAAACATCGAAAGAAAGACACACCTGTCAGCGCTGACAAAGCTGCACTGGCAGTGTAGGCAATGGTAGAGGTCCAAGGAGGAAGTGCATTTGCCTCTGCATTTGGCCAACAAAAAGCGAGGAAGCCAAGGTTGTCCATCTGCTCAGGTATAAAAAATTGGGTCCTCATCAGACGCTTCCCAAAGCTGCCAAAGCCGCTCTCCATTTGCTTGCCTCAGAGTATGTTTTCTCTCTTTTCTACATTGTGCTTCTCATTCCAAGTGCCAGTGCACATGGCGGTTGAGGTTAAGCAATTTACTGAGAGAAACACTGCGATACTCTCAGAATGCTTTGCTGATCCATTTTGAAGACTGGACACTTTGAAGGCTAGATTGGCTAAATGTCTTGGACCAGGTGACAATTGCTTCAGCTTGGAGAAGGAGTTGGCAAAGAAGTCCATCACCTGTGGCTGCTTCACTTGATGACCACTCATGCAGCCATTCTGTGTCATGCTGTGTCATCTGGTCACAGGAGGGCTCGACAGCATTCGGCCGCCTTGGCCACTTGCATGTAGCCAGTTTGGCATCGAACGGCGTCGCCAAAGTTCAAGGCTCCTGGTTTGCTGCACGGAGCCAATCGCGTGTTCATCCTCTGAAGCCGTTCGCGTTCTCTCTAAGCGAAAAACAACAGCACGTCGTGTGTTTCACGGCACCTGCCAGGATTTGTGGGCATTGATACAACCACAAAATCACCTGGGCGGTCGCATCGACTGGGTCGGTCCATCGATGGTCAAAGAACGAGCTTCTTTCAGATCAACCATGCCACGATCGGGAAGAAATCGATGAGTCCCAAGGTCGTAGTGAATAGCATGTTCACCAGTGCCTCAAATCATATCCAATCACAATCTGATGAAACCACATGTTAGCATAACATCTCAAATCAGGGTGATCATATATCCAATGAATTCATAATTCATGAATCACCTCCGACATTTGACATCTCAATTCTGTTCAACACTGACCCAAACAACCGCTGAGACGAGGCTCATTGTACCGGATGGCCTTGGTCCGTCATTCCGTCGACACGGCCGTTCCACGTCGTGGAACCGTCGACACGGCGTTCGTTCGTTCGAACCGTCGAGACGAGACGAGGGGCATCGATGTGAGAGTCAAAGAACTTTCGAGAGCGACCCTCCTCCACCTGAGAGCGAGTCGGCGTCGACTCCGTCGACCGTCAGTGTCTCGGTGAAAGGGACTGGCGAAGCGGCGAAGCCTCGTCACCATGTGCTAGAGCTACAGGCTCTGCATTCTCGCCTGATGGCATCGTGCAGCGTCGCACAACTACACGTCTGATAGCCACCGAGTCCAGAACGAATGCGCGTGAGGGAGTATCGAAAGGTGGCTCCTGCACAAGGCTCTCATACAGTACGTAGCACCACGCACCCCTTGTTGAAACAACAAACAGTCTTCTCAAGGCGCTCCAGTGCCTGTTTCAAGCATATCCTTGAACGCATCTACCAGTGCATTCCCAAACATACCTCACCAAACATGTCAACACATCGTCACATCGGACAGTTCTGTCTTCGGACAGTTCCTATCACCCGCCAAAAAATGCAAACAATAGAAACCATCGAATCTTGCAAAAACACGGAGAAGAAAAAAGAAGAAGAGAAAGAAGAAGAAAAGAAGCAGAATAAAAATAAAATAAGAAAAAGACGAAAAAGAAGAAGAAAAGAAGAAGAAGAAACACTGATGGACAATTTGTGTTCTCTCTTCGACTCCAAGCAACTGATGGACAGCAGCAAACGAAGAAAGGCCATACCAATGCAGGTGACCACGAGCATGGGGCCTCCCAGCTGAATCATGACCTCGGACGGGGTCGGGAGGCCAAAATCGGGCGACCAAAGCAAAATCGGCAAATCGCAAATCATGAAGCGTTCCTTGTTCCTAGTAGTACGGCCAGGAGCCCCTAGTAGCGTCCTTCCTCCTAGTAGCGATGCCCTGTGCTCCTAGTAGCGTTCTTGTTGCTTACAGGCAAATCATAGATTGAATAATAATAGATCTTACTTTAAACTATAATATGGGTACAACCATATGGGTTAAAATTACATATGACATAATATCTTTACTGGAAAAAACTTGCAACCCACAGCCATTCTTGAGAAAGAGAGTGTCTTTTCCCACACTGCAGTGAGTCTCAATTCTTTCTAAAGAAGTCCTCTTTCGTTTTCCGCTTCTCTGGGTGGCAAGCTCCAGCCCATGCAATCATTCCAAACCTTGGCTTCAAAACAAAAAACCGCTAGCGTCAAGAACGTCCAACGATGAATTCCAAGGCACACAGCAGATAGGAACCCGGAGAAGAGAATGTACAGCATGTTAGCAAACCTCAAAATCTCACAACATCATCACTCAGGTTATGAAGGATGCACCCCAATCTATAATTTTGCACTTGAAACATCTTGAAACATGTATATGTTCTGCTTCGTGATTTATGGTGATTAATTCACGGAACATTCAAAAAGGAGCGCAAGCAGCACTGAAGTGTTCGTGTCACTTTGTAGTCAAGTGTCTGCTCTGCGGAGTCACTGATGCGCTGATCTGGATTGTCAATATCGCGCTTCTGCCAGGCAGGATGAGTAGTGACGGTGACAAGAAACTGCATGTCACAGCGAGTTGAACATGTTGAAGGCGACTAACGCTTACTTCAAGCTCATGTATGGTCTTATAGTAAAAAAACAAAACATTGAATTCAAACATCAAACAAAAGTAATGATGGATTCCATGCTTTCCCGCTTCATCAGCCTCATCGTCCATTTTCAGCTTGTAGTATGCCTGTCCGCCTCCTCAAATTGACCATCTGCCAGGACCTATCCCTAGCCTCCAAGGCCTAGACCACTGCCTTTCCCAAAAAACAATCAACAAAACACCCCATCAACACCCTGTGCTCCTCCAATGTATGATGACAACATACAGCTAGTGATGTAGCCTTGGAACGAGCAGCTGGCTGATTATAAGCAAACTAATAAGGAAAAACTCCAACGGATTGCTGATCGCTGATCTCCCGTCTCGCTCCAGGTCGCTTTGGATCGAGGATGAGAACCACCTCAGCACCGGATCAGCCCGGCCCCGCCACGGTCAGGCCCCGTCCACGCCGCGGGTCCACGCACCGCAGCACGGGTCGGATCGAAGGTCCAAGTCGTTCGGACGAGAGGCGCTTGAAGCATCGGATCCTCGGTGCGTCGGTGCGGCGATCCGGCGCGGATGAAGCATCCGTCGCGACGGTCGTGACGGTGAGGCGACGCCGAGGAGCCAAGATGAGAAAGATGGGAGCGGTGGCAATCTGCCATGCCAGCATCGAAAATAATCGACTATAGACCAGGGATAAGTCCTTGGATCTGTAGTGTATCAGCTTGGGATGTCTAGATGCTCTAAATAAATGGATAAAAGGCTTGGTCAAGTCTCACAACAAGTCCTAAACCAGTTAAACCAACGACAAAAGAACGACGTAAAAGGCCGAAAAGAACAACATATCAACACATACTTGGAAATCAGAACATGAACAAAACAACTGAAGGACAGCATCAACATGCATTCAACATATCACATGTCTAGAGATAACAACAAAATACAATATAATACATAATATATACAATATACACAAATCATTTATATACATGCTAAATTGGGACTCTACTCTAAGGCACCTTGGTACCTGGAAGAGCCACCACCGCGTTGGTGAGATTGGCCGTAAGGGATGAAAGAAAGTTGGCATAGAGCCACTCTCTGGCAAACCAATGTAGAATCGTGATACAGCACAGACTTCGTGAGATCCATCGATAGGCAGGGTTCACCAGCCAGCCGTGGGAGATCAAAATCACGCTTTGCACCCCCGAGAGGTCCCGTAGCAAGGCCGTGAAGGCCGAATAGCGGTCCTCGCTCTTCGGTCGCTTCAGCGCACGCAGGTCGGTGGCCACGATGCGCGTGTGACGCGCCACGCATTGCATCACAAAGGCGCAGGTCAAGTTTAGAGCGATGAGGAGGGGCACGAGGCACAGATTCTGCCAGCTGCCGGGTCCAGGTTGGACCAAGTGTAGTACAAGATTGTCAGCCTTTTGTAAGGTCGAATTCACTTGAAGGAGCACTCCCTCGTCGATGTTCGTCTCTGAATAACTCATGTTGCGAAATGCAGGGATGAAATGCTCCAGCAAAGCTGGAGTTATTGAATAGTGACCGACGTAGAAAGGCAAAAGCATGGCGGAGACAATCTATAGGAGAGATCTCACTTGAAAAACAGAATGGCCAACGCAACTCAACTTGTGTGCTGCCAACTCAACTGGTGTGGTGTGGCCTTTTTTCTAGGTCTGTGCTCCATGTCTAAGCATGGAAAAGCTGGTTAAACCATGTCTAAACGGATCTAAACGGCACCTACACAGCATGGGGTTACGTTCGATTCGGTACCGAAGGGCCTGTTTTTCGAGCCGAAATGCATCGCAGTGCTTTCATCCATCAGTGCTTTCGAACGACACCCAGTCACTCCAACATTCAAAGCCCCTCAGTGAAGGCTCACTCAAAGCAGCAACCAAAGAGCTTGTATAGACCCCCCAAAAAAAAACTTGAACAAACCAAAGGGCTATCTTTCCAATTATAGCAATGGTCTTTCAACAAACAACAGAATCTCATTGGCCTCGTGAATCTCGTTGGCCAACCGCAGGCCTCAGGAGCCGCCTTTCTCGGCAGAATCGGTCTATCCCATTACCAGTAAGAGTGGATGATGATGATGATGATGATGATGATGATGATGATGATGGTGATGGTGATGGTGATGGTGATGGTGATGATTGGGTTGCAGGCCGACATCTCAAAACTTGTGATGTTCTTGTTGACCGACTGTTACAGGTAATGGAACAAACCCAACGTATGTGTGTTGGCTTTTGTTCACTGCCCACCTCTATCTCTTGGCCTCACTGCAGTGTACCGTACCTACGTCTCGAAGTCGCGTTATGTACACACCCCCTACATGTGTCACATGAGTTCCAAATTGCTGGCTTAGGTCGGTGGTGCCGACTATTCAGGACGCGCGACCGACAACATATGCCGATTCGATGCACTGCATGATCAGTTGAGTTCCCAACTGGGCAAGGTTTGATGCAAGGAATCGGATCGGCTCAGCTGCGCCACATCGCCTGCCTATGCCAAGGACATACCAGAGTTTTTGCATACACTCCTTGAAATAATCAATGGAAGTGAAGTGAACACCACCTGTGGTAAGTTTGGTCTTCAATGGTATTCGGAACATGGGTTTTCCTTTGGGGTGGCCAGTGGCCATCTTCCCATTCACGTGTACCCGAGCGATTGAGGATGCCACATCGAAACGCTCGCCTTCGGCTCGGGTCTTGCAGAACTGCCTCTTTCGGGCCTGGGCGCTGGCGCTCGCGCGAGCCAAGGCCACGACGAATCGGACGAGTCTGAAGTCTTTCCGTCCTCTGGGACCCTGAGGCCAAGACCCACATGGCAAAAGGTCCTTCCTCTGTCCAATTCTTGATTCTTAGACCTTTATGATGTTTGTTGTTTTTATTGGCATTGTTTTTAATGTCAAATCTATTTTTCTATCGTTCTTTTCTCTCTACTGTACAAAGGTTTGTGTGTTGCGATGGAACTAAAGAGCGAGCACATCCGCTGCTTCCCTGCGCTCTGTGCTCACAAGTGGTGAGCAACCTTGGCAGGGCTGTGGGACACAGAGTGTGAAGCATTGACACTGCCAGGTACATATTCAACAGCTATTGAGTGAACGTTTCCTTCATGCTGATATTCCTTGATTTTTGTTTATATTAAGGGTGAGTACTTCAGTGCCGCGTGATCCTCATATGGAAGGATATCCGACCAACCAACCCACCTCCTTCAAAGTTGTTCTCAACACATGCGGAAACCTTCATTGTCCACGCCTTCATGTTTGGAAGGAGGAAGGTTTGGATACTTTGAATAATGTACTCTTGATTTTAATATATTTTAATAATCAATACACCCCTCCAATTGAATTGAAGATCCTCTTCAAAGGGGTGGTTTTATTGATCAAGAGTCTACTTTTATCTTGTTTTGCTCATCAAAACCCCACATGGGTCCGTCTGATTCCATCGCCGGTCTCTTCGCCCAGCGGCACAGCAGCCGGAGCTCCCGAGCCGTGGCGCGCAGCTCCGCGGTCGCCTCGACCGGAGCTCCCGGGGCGGCGGTGAGTCACGGGTCTGTGGGAGTGTTTGTTGAGAGCATGCTGAATGAGGCTAGAATGAGGTTGGCTCCCAGGGTTCCAAGGTGACTGGGTGTGCCCAGACGGGGCCTGAGTTCATGAGCTTCTGAGGACAGTTTCATGGCAGTTCATGTTAACCTCAGTATACATCAATCTTGCTTCAGCTGAGAAGAACTAGTGGCAAGAAGCTATATACTAGGTTGGAGGTCATTACTAGTAGCAAGAAGCTACTTCTTGACCAGATCGATGTGGTTTCAGAAGCGGTCCCCCCTGCGCCCCCCCTCCGAGACCTCCCGATCCGTCCTCCGAGACCTCCCGTTGGAGCGCATGTCGAAACTCGGAGGCCATGTGTTCCTTGTACTCCTTCAAGTGGGCCTTGTCATGCGGAATTCGGGCGAAATGGCGGAAGGTCAGGTCAGGTCCGGTAGGAACATGATGGAACAACTGCTATTGGGTGGAGGAGGCCATCGCTCTTAGGGTGGAGGCCATTGCCAGCATTGCCAGTAGCTCAGTGGGTATGAAGAGGTATGAATAGAACAACAGCAGCGATGCGGATCGATTCGAGATGAGTCCAGTGATGTCGACGACTGGTCGTCGCGCGACGACCCGTCAGTTGTGGCACGACGTTTTCAACGACCCGACGGCGGTCCAAGGCGCGAGTGGCGCTACGTCCGTATGGGCCCAATGAGGTGGAGGGGGGTCGCGTCTGCGTGCCTCGATCACCTGCTTCACTGGCGCGAAGCAAGCAGCCTGAAGAAGACGTCATGAGGAAATTGATTTAGAAGACATGACAAACAACAAGGTCACCTCATTGTTACCACCAAATCGCCTACTTCATCGTTTGATCCTTTTTGGTAGCCAACAATTGATCCTTTTTGGATCCCCCAATAAGGACCTCTGCAGCCTCAGCACGGCGCATGGCGGCCTTGGTTGGAGGGGCTCGGCTAATCAAGGTTTACGGTAAAGAAAGACGCCTTCGAACGTCATCTTCATCTTGTGAGTTCACATCACCTAGAATATAAAACAAAAAACACGACTCTCCTCTGCAGCTTCTCGCAAGCCAGCTACTGCGGCCTCACTTGTCAGATCTCAATAGACGACAAAGCATGGACGAAATCACAGCACTTGGTCTAACGCCAACAAACCTCCCAAGATCTCCCAAGTACCAGACCAAAAGCATTTCCCTTTCACTACGGAAAGCATCTTCACCAGTCACCTGCCAAAATCAAACTCACTGAGACTCGCTTTGAAGTCCCAATTGAAATCAAAAGACTGCTGACCCAAACAACAGCTTTGGCCTAACATGTTAGGAGAAGCAAACTCAGATGCACCCTTGCTGCCGACGCTCAAGTCTTCTTGAACCATGTTAGACATATAAATATATATATATATATGAGATCTGTTGGCCTGGAACTCTGGATCTCCTTCAGTCTTGGCTTGGGCAAGCCTCAGGATGATCTGAAAATGGCGGAGGCTTCCGCGACTGATGGACCATGAGGACTAAGGCCTCCACAAGGAACGTCTTTGATGAAGCTTTGCCTCATCATCTGCCAGAAAACATGTGCCGTCATCTGCGTTCCATATTTCTATGTATATCCTGAGCACAACTTCTATTTTTGCACAGTCAATTTCCAAGTGTTGCATAGGTGTTTCAATCCTGGGGATTTATTCATCAAGAGTCTACATGGTGCAACAGTCCCTATGGATCATCATCTACAGTCCCTACAAATCAGTCCGTGCCATCGGATCAGCGCTCGAATCGCGCGCTGCGCTGTCTTCTCTCTGCTCGGCTCCGGATCAGCGCTCTCCCCTCGGCTCCCAAACATCCATTCCCCCTGACACGAGCTTTCGAACTCGATGCACTGCAGCAGGTCCACACCTGCAGCTCGGTTACAGGAGGTTGCGGCAGGAGGCGGCAGGTAAAAGTCAGATATTCCCCCAAAAAAATAACATATATATGCCCCCCGAGGATCTCCCGAGGATGTGGTTTCCATGCGGACTCGGTTTTTCTGCGTTTCAGACTTGCTCAGAGTGTCGGCTCAGTCGGTGAGTGTAGGGAATGAGGGAATTTTCACCACCCCTGTAGCACCAGTATAGAAATCCTCACGCTCACGATCCTTGTCGCTCATCTAGGCGTAACCCGAGCGGTGGCCATGCCTGCCCTGCGATTCCGGCCGCTCTTCTTCTGTCATGGAACAAAAGCGAGCCTTGGTGAACTGCAAAGACCGGCCACTCGAACCACAGCGTGTACTTCTGGCAGGTTGAATGCAGAATGTCAATAGGTGTAAGCAAATAGGTGAGTTGCCTGCCTTCCTTTTGCATCTAAACTTTGATCCACGCTCTACACTGACACGCTCGTGCCAATGTATCAATGGAGCTTGTAAATGCACTGTAGCTGCATGATTCTGATACATTATAATGCATCGCATGCGCTCCTTGGTTTTTTTAAATCTGCTTTTCTATGCTGCACTGGCGGATTCACCAAAGTTTCGCAGCTTTTCCTGACAAATAGCAAGCAACATGAAGCAAACGGTGGATCCCAAGACCCAGGCTGCCAAGGTGACTGCCAGATTTGGTCTATTTCTATTTCTATATTCCTCTTCAGGCGGCTGTCTATTCATGTGTCTACCCTTGGCCTACTGTCAGCTTCTGTCAGCTTCTAGTACCGATTGCACAAGAGCACAAGATTGTTGCCACATGTGCTAGCAGCACAATAAATCAAAAAAACGGAAACACAAACACAAGTTCAATTGATGTACAAACCAATGGCCTCTTCCATGCTTTGCGGAAGGCTGAAGGATCCAATTGCTTGTTCAAATTTCTCTCCTGAGAAGGTCCCAAAATCCAACTCAAACTTTGAAATCTCTGCGATACTCTCTGCGATGTGTCGCATCCCAAACCATCGATGTAAACCATAGCGACGCGTCCGTGACTTGGTGAATGAGTCTTTGTTGACCCTCGATGGTTGCTAAGAAAGCTTCTAGCTTTTTGAGGTCGACCTTCGAGGCAGGCCAAGAAGGATTCTGCCCACGCCTGGCTGCATCGCATCTGCATCTATGAAGAAACGGCATGATGTGCTACCAGGAGCAGAGTTGGTTTCAATTGAAGGGGATGCAAGAGAAATCATAAGGTCAGTTGTTTGAGGTGCTTGTCAAGCGTCCTCCCAGATGGAAAAGAACATCAACAACCAACCAAGCAACCATATGCAACCAACCAAAACCAAACCAAACAAAACAACACACGACCAAACCAAACCAAACCAAACCAACCAAGAAAGAAAACAAGCAAGCGCGTACACATGTACAAAAATGCATATATATATATACACACACATTATACAAAAGAAAAACTACAAAGAACACATTAGGATGCATCAAGCCTGTTGGCTGTAGGTTGACAGCCTACAGTTGTCTTAACTTGCATCATTTGCATTTCAATTATGTGAATGGGCTGCGGGTGGGCAACCTACACCAGTCTTTGCGAAGTATCCATTCGAATTCAAAGCAACTATACTAAACTTGGCAAAGAGTGCGAGGTCATGGTCTGTCGACTAGGGTTTTCGGTGGGCAATCTACAAGTTTAAACCAAACACAGCCTACCTTCTGCAGGAGACCACAGCCTGTTGGTTGTTGTTTGTTCTGACGCATCATCAGCATCTTCACAAGTGTTGACCAATCTACCCCTTTTTCAGAAGAAATTGAAATTGATTAAGTGTCTGACATCTAGAAATCCTGGCCTTGGTGACATCGTCCTTGTCTGCATCAAGCTCAATCGCTGAGACCGCCGCACCTTTCCTTGGCAACAAGATGCAGGTGTCAACCATTGGGTTCCACCTTCAGCCTTCGGCTTAGCCGCAATAACCCCTCAGTGAACCGTTCCCGTCCACTTCTTACCCTGAAAAACACGCAATAGTCAAGCATCAGAACCGACAAGATGGGCACGCTGATGATCATGCCCACGGGGCCCCAAATGAAGCCAAAGTAATTGATGGCCAGCAGGACCCAGACCTCGTTTTCTTCGTCCAAAAACATAAAACAAGCTAAAAGACACGGCTGAAGCTGCCAGCTGCGCCGTTTCCAAAATAAGAATATGCAAGTGAAGCTCACATATGCTGTGGAACGGTGTATTTGTGGTGTTGTATTTCTTGCTTTACTCCTGCGAAAGCTAGCTTTCAGCTGCTTGGAAAGTGTGTGAAGATTTGCTCGGTATGCGTACTCGCTGCGACAGTCCGTTTTGATCCGTTTTGATTTTTTCGGTCGGGTCTCCGGGCAGGATGGACCTTCATCTCTGCATCTGACTGGATGAGAGATGTCTCAATGATGTTGTTGAAGACAATCTTCATGGCCTCTCTTTGGACAGTCCGTCGGTGTAAAACGCTGCGAAGCGGGTGAGGCAAGAGAACGTGAAGATGCTGAGCCACTCACGAGCTGTCCCACAGTTGCCTTCAACAACCTCGAATGGGCTGGGTTTCATCTCACATTTTCCCACTTTCTCGAAAAAGGAGACACCGTGCTCTAGTTTCTCAGTGTGTTCGCCCAGCTACGTCATGGCAGGCGATGGAAGTCGGCCATCAAGAAGTATGATGGGCATGGGAATCATGATCGCAATGATTGTGCCCACTTCTGGGACGTAGTTGAAGAAGAATGAAACAATTCCAAAGAAGATTGCCTCAGAATCTGCAAAGATTAGCAAGAATGATCCATAGAGGTATCCTTCTTCATATTTCCTACCTATAGCTTCCACATGCCAAGTTGTAGCGACCGAGTGTCCAAATCATTGTTCAGCAACAGAAAGAGGGCAGAGACCTCAGTTTCCACGCGGTTCAGCCGAAGCCCACGTGCTTTTATCTCCATCTTCCTTCCTTCCCCGCGGTTCTGAACCCGGCCGAACCGGGTGAAGCGGTTCACCCGTTCCGCCCGGGCAGCCCGGACTGAGAAGCCGTAGAAGAGCGAGACAAGAGTCTTCTTCCAGAGATAGCTTCGTACCTCAAGGTCCACCGACAACTGCTGTGCTGGGGTCCACCGAACTCATATCCAAAAGTGATTCGCAAAATAAAGGTTTCAAAGCATTATGCAGATTGCAGATGAGCGACAAGGTTGCTCACATTCCCACCAATTGGCAGTGGATTTAGAAGTCCGAAGATCACATACAAAAGGATGATGACCAAAGAGACCACACACCTGAGATAATCAAAGACCTATACAGCAATATTGAGTCTATCGGTCTATCCATGTCTATCCTATTATATACCAGTAACAGTGGACGATGATGATTAGGTTGCAGCCCTTGTTCAAAAATTGTTATTGGATTCTTTACAGCGAGTGTCGAGGAGACATCCGAAATGATCTCCTCGACCACAGCGGACACCAATGCCTGGCCCTTGTCAAGCAAATATGAATAGAACCTGAAGACCCCAGTCCGAAAGAGTCTCAAAACTCTGGCCCAGTCCGAAACCTGTGTTCTTTGTGTCATGTAAAGTTCTCTGCAGAACAGCAACCCATTCAGATGTGAATCGGTCTGTTGACCCAGTTGCAAGCGCAAGGAAAGTCTCCTCACCCACTACACAACTTGCAACATCTTTCTGAACACGTGGATCTCTGCTGAACCAGTGCGTTTCACCCTCGCCGTTTCGTCTTAGGTTTCACACGGTTTCACAAGTCTCACTGGTCCTAGTGATGCTCTGCAGCATGGCAACCAGATTTTCAGCCCCCGAGGAGTAGCTGGACCAACCTTGGAAAATGTTCGGGTGAAAGAAAGCGAGTAACCAGAAAATGCTGGAAGAACATGTTTATGGCATGATGGTACAAGCATTGTACATGCAATTCATGGACTGAAGAGCTGTTTAGAGTGCCCATGAAGCCAGAAAAGAAGCAATAGTCAACTGAAGAGTTGAGGTTGTGCAGCAAAATGAAGCCAAAGGTTTCCGGTTTTCGACCATCAAATGTTTAGCATCCAATTCCAAGCAAGCTCGGTCCCAGATGCTTTCGCGAAGGTGCAAAGCGCCAGCCAACAATGAGCCAGCCAATAAAGTCACAACCTCAGAGCTGCTGCTGTAGAAGACTACTGCAAGATAGAGTCCCTGTTCTTGAACACTGCAGCAGCAGCAGAAGGAGCAAAGAGGACTGCAAAGAGGATATTCTGCTGCTTGAGGTGCAGACCAAGAGGATCAAACAAATCCTGAGCATAAGTTCAGCAAACCATGGCGTTGAGCATGGTAGACCATGCAAAAAGGGCACAAGTATGCACGAGTCTTGTCTAACAAGAATGTTCAAATCAGATTGTGGGACAGTGACACCACTGATCTCAACCGTTTTGCTCGGTCGACCGATCCCCCTCCGCGGTTACCAAAATCAACACCAATGGACCAAAGGCTTGATGACCAACTGACTGTTGCCGGCAAAACGGCCTTTGGGAGGAACTTAAACATCACATCCATGGTTCTAGATGATGGTTGAAGGGAATAGAACTAGAACAGTCCATTGTTTCAGACTTTGATGATGTGGGTAGCTGCGCAGCTACCCGCACGTGTTTACTACGAAATCCAGGCACATGAATATCACCGACCATAACGATTGATGAACCTTTGATATTTGCCTGTTAAAACATTGTAAAAACAATGGTAAAGGGATGTACAGGGGATCATCTGAAGATGACCCTTATCTGAATTCTATATATCCCTTATCTTAGATCTTAGCTAAGGCTCGCTATACTCACGGATGCGCAGCGTGCAGCACCTTCACACAAAGGATCCTCATCCTCGGCTACAGGCTGCGCAGTGGAGCCGGTGTCGTCCATAAAGGTCGGTATAGTAAGACCCTTCGAAACACCCTTCAATCGTCCGTAGTATACAGTAGAGACCCCTTTCCTTTTCGACGCTTTCGAAACCATCCTCGTCACCACGAGAAAGAGCGGAGCGAGCCGAGCCCGCTTCCGCCCTCGAGGCCCTCGGTTCGAGCGAAAGCCGAGCTGCACTGGAACCACTCAAGGGCTCCAAGGCATCTCGATCAGGATCTTCACTCTCCTCACCGAAGTAGGCATCCTTTCTCCGCCTTCGATGGCAGCAGCAGCAAAACCACCTGAGGCCGGTGAAAAAACAGGTGTCACAGCGTGATGCGCGATGCCACCAGGGTGGCTTCTAATTGAAGCCAGTGAACCCTTGAAGTGCTTGGATGTCAAAAAAAGCCTTCTTTTGCAACGAACTGCCCAGCCTGTATGGTGGTGTTCTTCCTGAAAATAGATTGTAAAGGCCATTCACCTTCAAGTTCATGCTTTGGAAACACTCATTTTAGGAACATGATGGCTCTTTGATTAACTTACTCGAATCTGGAGTCTTGTCTGAGACTGGTTTCTCCGTCATCTGGTCATCCCAGTCAAGTTGCTGTTGGCTCCACTGCACAAATCACTAGCGCGCTGAGAACCTCAGTCAAGTCAGAGAACCTTGTTGTCGGGAAGGCCCTTCATAGTGCAGCGAATTTGATTGAACTGTCTGCTGTGTCAGCTATCATACGTAATCTTGAAGAAGTAAAACGAACCGACCCCCTAACAAAGCGACTTCTTCCAGTCGTCATACGACGTCTTTCCGCCATAAGTCTTTCCGCCGTACGTCTTTCATACCGGGGCACGAATGGCACCAGGACGGATCGCAAGTGGAAGAGCAAAATGTGCCCGCCTTGGTCGTGCGATCGACCGCCCGTGAGGTCTCGCCCGTCAGGTCGTGGGGATCGATGGTGGTTGCTACGGGTGAACACTAAGACGTGGACAAACCAAGGCGACCAGTAGCAACCTGCCAGTTGCAATGGAAAAGAGCGACTCTAAGGCACATCTAAGCACCATCATTTGCCTCACCAATTGGTTCACTTTGGAGCGCTTTGGTTCACTTCTGAATGAGACAGAAGTGTGCTCAAAACATCTCAAAACCAGCTTTGCAAACGCATCATATCTAGAGGCTTCGATTTCTCTGCTGCAAAAGCTTAGGATAGGGCAGGAAAACAGCCACCTTCTGCAGTGACTTTGTAACAGCTGTGAGGGCGTCCGGAGCAGATGCATCTGGCCTTCTTTGGAGCATCCTTCCGCCAACCAAAGCAAGAGACGGAAGAGGGAGCCCAGCTAAGACAGTGAGAGTCTTCAACATACTCATTCTGAGGTGATTTCAAACCCAAAATGAATCCCAAACTGTCAGATTCTACAAAAATGGTTTGGTGAAAAAATGATGTTACCATGTTTACTCATCTTTCTGGCAAACCTACCCCTTCACGAGAGTCCTCACAGACCCGCATAAAGACCCGCACCACGGGTCAATGAACCTCACAGACCTTGCGCAGTGAGCGCCCATGAAACACTGAATACAAAGGAAGAAAACGAAACACAAATGAGGGTGCATGCGACTGGTTTGCTTCGATGGAGATCGATGAATTAGAATGAATTAGAGGTTCCACACAATAAGTGCCTGCTTGCATCTAAAATGGTTTTTAAACATGGTTCAAGTATGCACTTGCAAGCTTTTGAGCTTTCAGAATACGTTGACGCACGCTTTCAAAAAAAAACACCGGAACACCCACAGGTCACAGGACCGACGAGGTCGATCTACGCAGCCTGGACCGCTAGGGATAGAACAATCCGGGAGGGAGCCATCATGAGCCATCATGAGCTGGAAAAGCGTGACTTGACCTAACTATGGTGGTCTCTCACTCATTCTCACTCCATCTAGCGCGAAACTTCAGTCTGAATTCCAGACGAAGGAAGGGCATTACTTTCGTATATGCTGCCACAGTCAAGGTGTTCAGGGGCGGCCCAATCGAAGATAGTGCCGGACCTGATCTTGAACTTCACTCCCTTCCACTTGTTAGCACGAGCGCTGCACTGTATCTTTGGAGTATGCGCACAGTGAAGGCCTACTTGGGAAAGACTGAGGTACATGCCAATCCAGAATATGTTTCACCAAAGCCGCAAACTGCTGCAACTAAATTTGCTGTGAGTATTTTTGGGTAAGCCACTCTTTTAGCTTGTGTTTGCAGTGATTGCACCATCACTCCATCACTCTATCGGGTTTCTGCTTCTAAGGGAATAGATGGGACCGTGCAGGCAGGAAAGTGTTCAGCCTCGCCTCACAGCTACACAGCACTACCTACTTCAGGACTCGAGATGCTCATGAAGTGTATCAGAACCTGTTCACTGGACCAGATCCCCAACTTGGCTCCACACCAAAGACTTGATTCAGCTGAACACTGCACCAAGCAAGGCAGGAGACTGACTTAGAACCTTGGATCTGAGAGAGGATCGAAGTAGTGAGCACCTTTCACTGCAAATAGACGATTAAAGTAACGCACATTTTAGAAAAGACTGCCAGTATACTGATGGTACTTTTGATGTCAAAGTTATTTTCCTTAGATTCGAATCAAGTCACGTTGAAGGCGGTTCAGAACGCCCTGGTCCAGGCCGCGCAGTTTGAGCCATAATATCGGTTGTCACAGTTGGTTGGGCATCCACATCTGCACAAAAGAGAATGAAAGAGATGCATCTTTGCTGCTTGTTCTAGCGCCAGTCAATACAAGACTTGGGATCCGCAAGAATCTGAGATACAATTGGGAAGATCGACCTCACAGCCTCTGCATGAAATCAACCACTGACAAACACGAGCTCACACTGACAAACACAGCATCTTGAGCGACCTGCTTGAGCGGCTTGAGCGATTGCAGCCTGGTATCTCGGGCTAAGCCGCTAAGCCTTGCCTTGAGCCTTGAGCCTTGGCTTCAGGTCAGCTCCCATGTCCCGCCCACTATGAGTCTATGACGCTCAAGAAACAACTTTCAATTCTCTTGTGCATGCACACAAGATCACTGCATAAGCATAGGAGGAAAAGAACGCGGAAGGCGCTGAGGCACCAAGGCTTTTTGCTTACGCGAGCGAGCTCAGAATGTCATTATCTGCATCAGCAAGAAGAAGCTCCTTCATGCCCTTGGCATGAAAAGAAAAAACATCAAATTTTGTGAGAGAAGGCCGCTGAACAAGTAAAACACACATTGTTTACCAGCATCACCCATCAAATTTTGTGTGGACCAATTGTGGACCCCAAAATCTGGCAAAAGCCGGCCCATCTCCCATCTCCGACTCCGACCCCCACTCACCCCAACCGTAGACCGACCGGGACGTCTGCTTTTTTTCGACTCCAAGTGTGGGACGTCTGGTAGGATGGGTTCCCACTTGCCACTTGGACCCCGTCGAGCCATGTAGCGGAATCCCTGGCGGATCGAGCCACGTGTCGACCGTGCCGTGGTACATCTGTAGACATCGAAGCCGTGGAGTTCTGAACTCAGAGCCGTGGGACGCGAATGTTCAGGATTTGAGAGGTGTTTGAGAGGATGTGGAGAGGTGTTGATGGATTTTGTGACTTGATTCAGCTGATCGTGCAAAACACATGCACAAATCATAGAAAACCAAAAACTGTCAGTGTCGCAATGTCACATTCATCAGCACTGCAAGAATCTGGGCACACATGGGCACACGCTGTGAAACCACGGCCTCCATACACACCGAGTCGGACGCCTCCTCAGGTCCTGACATCATGATGAACACCCGATATCACCGGGCGAGGACATATCAAAACATCAATCCCAAACAGTGTTATGGTAAACAGTTGACATGAACCTTGATCAACCTATCTGTGCCAAAAGCCTCTATCCTAAGCCTTCATACTAACAACATGCTGTCGCACATCCTTGCACGCTACTTCCGCAACCACCTTTACATGGGAGCTTATGGCGCTGTTCATCTATGTTTTGTTTATCATGATCATCATTCCAATATCATTTCTCCACATCCTGACACCTCCGTCTCCACACACCGACACTCCACTCCCCATCCTCCCATCTCTCCCTCGTCTCTCCACATCCTCTCCCCTCCTCGCCGTCGTGAGCGTTCGAACTCGGGCGACTCGATCCCGGGGATCTCCGCCAAGGGGCAGGCGCTTTCCAGCACCTGCCCGACCGACGAGCCGACGGAGCGCAGAGCGAGGGACCGGAGCCGGGACCGGGTTCGTTGGTTCGGCCTTCTGGGTGTAGAGCATCGCGGAGTCAGTGGTCATTTGCCAGGGTCCCAAATGCCTGCGGTGCTTGAAGGAGGCACCTGAAGCAATCACTCCAAACGAAGCTGAAGGATAGGAATCTCTTAGTCTTGAGATCGCATTTTTTGATAAGGACCCTCCCCCAAAAAAGATCTGCATGAGATAGAGTTGGTGTCTTGAAGAGTTCTGCAAAATCTGCAGTATCATGTGTAACATTGATACTATATAATATAGATACATTCTTAGACCCAGAACTTTCTGTATACGGGTTTTGAGATGCCCCGGTCTGTCGCTACTGCCTGGTCATCGTTTTGACCAAAATCGCAGGCATCCGAGCGACGAATCTCAGAGGTCCGATCATCGCTTCCATAAGATCCATCTTCCTTCTCAATCACATTGCCCAAGATCCCTCCAAAGACCTCCGCAACAGCAACAGCGAAACGTCGCGATTCGAGTGGCTTACTTGTGTATGCATGCATGTGTTTTTTCTTTGTTTGTAAAGCAAGAATTCATCATCCAAGTCCGATGCTGCTACGCTGATGAGTTGTTTCATGCTTTGTTCTTTTTATTAAGTTGATCAAATCCCTTAATCCAATGATATCTACTCTGCTATAATGAAGCCACAAAGCTAAGCAACTGCTACAACGAAAAACATGTCTCCGATCCCCCGAAAAACCGAAAGGTTCCCTACTACTACTACTACTACTACTACTACTACTACTACTACTACTACTACTGTTACCTGTTACCTTCGGATTCCACTTCGATTCCGTTCGACCCCCCCGCTTGGGGCTCTGCTCCGTCGTGCGCTCCGCCAACGAGTCCGTCTGGGGCCGAACGAAGGCATCGAACTTGGCCACGTCGTTGGGCTCCAGGGCCTCCTCGGCCTCGACGGAAGACAACGAAAAAGGAGACTGTCTCGATGCTCCAGACTGAGCTGATGATGGATGATGCTTGATTATATGCTGATGCATTCTATAGTTAAAAGTCAAACCTCAAATGACTGATTAGTCGGTGCTGATGACTGGTGCTTTGGGCATCCATCCGGTCTGAGAAAAAAGAGAGCCTCGTTTCTGTGTTTCTCTCGGATGTCCAAGGGGCACACATTCATATCTAGCAGGCAGATTCTGTCCCTAGGCGTGGCTTCCAAGGCGATCCAAGGCGTGGCTGTCTTCCAATTCACTGTCCAAATGCTTCTGATATGTTCTTATTTAATAAATCCTATATACATATGTTTTCTGATTTTTGTGCTTCACTTGCTGTTGTGTTCACATCATATTATGGACTCGCTCTGTGGAGGGTTTGTTGGAAGCTCAGCCAGTGGCCAATCAGGCAGGGATGGACCACCTGTCGAACTCGACCGAGCTGAGAAGTGGACCCCCTCTGTGCAGCCTCTGTGGAGCCTCTGGACCCCCTGGTTCTTCAAGAGTGAACGAACTGAGCACCTGGTGACCGGTTCGGCCTGTTACTTCGGCCAGTCTGGGACTCCAAATATGAATACCCTACCTGGCCAATCAGCAGGTGGCACCAGCTGCTCCAAACCTAACAACATACGGATTCTGGATGGTTCAACCAAAAAGGTGAGATCAAGTGAGTAGCAAATGCTTGGCTTCTCACCATTGATCACCCACGACTATCTCCAGCAGTCCATTTGAGGTGTCGACGCTTCGTGTTGGCTTTCGGTGCCGCCCCGCTGGACACCAATTGAGTGACGTCCTCACCGCGGCATCCCAGTGACGGCACTCCGGTCTCGATGCATCTGCCTATCATCCATGGACCTATGAGAGCGGGGTCATGGGGCCTATGATGGCCTATGAGAGCCTATGGGAGCCTATCATCATCTATCATCCATCCAGTGTCGCCCTACCCCTCCTCCTCTGCTGGCCATCCTCAGTGTGTTCCCGACCATTCTTGAAGAAAAGAAGACGGTGTCTGTCTTGGAAGCCCGACGCACAAAGACCAGTTGCTCCGGTGGCACCTGGGCTGTCGAGACACCCACTGCAGGCAACGAGCACATGAGGCAACGGCCTCAAACAGCACAACTCGTTGCCTGCTGTTGCACCACCCCATCGCCAGTGTCTTTTTTCAAGCACAAGAGATGGCACACGCAAGGCGGAACTTGCGAGTTCACCAGTGACCAACTGTACAATGCTGTAGCGCGACATGAATGGGAGGGTCGCGCCTTTCGCTGCCTATGGCATTTTTCAAGTGAATAATCAAGAATAGAACTTCACACCTCAATCACAAAAGTTCGGTCACCACGTAATCCACAGTGGTTCGGCTCCGAACGTAACATGCGCTGTGCAGGTGTCGTAGGGAAGCGCTCAAATTGAGGACCATCGGACCAATCGAGATCTATCTCCCTTCGCCAAAACGGGTGCAAAGAAAATTTCCCGCTGACTGGGCGTTTTCAGGGCGTGATGCCTCGCCCGCAGTTGCTTGGTGACACCCAAATCGAAAAACACCGAACTAAGAAGCATCACTTTGGGGGGGTTGTGTTGTCATCACTGTCACCTTCGATGCATCCAGCGGATATGCAAGTTAAATCCGGCAAAAAGCCACCAGAGTACTCGAATTATTGATACAGGTGTCAGCAATTGAAAAGCAAGTTTCGATGCTCTGTGTCAAACAGCACTGAGAAAATTGTTCCATGAGGTCAATATACAAGTTCCAAGTGGTTTTTGACTAAACCTCCTTGTGCTGACGCCTAGATTTGGTCGATACCGTTCTCAGTGGCCTGGGTTTCATCTACAGACATCATCCGCGCTAGCGGTGGTCCATCAAATGACATCATTCGCACCAACGGTTCTGTATGAACCCCATCAATAGACATCCTTCTCGTGAGCTGCAATGACTCTGTCCCATCTTCGGACATGCGTCGAAAGAGACTTCCGTGTGAGTTCGGTGTCTCCGAATCAAACGACCTCGTGCGGACGACTTGATCGTGCCGTCGCCATTGAGGCGAGCACAAGTCCCAGAGCGACCGAAGCTTTGGCGTCACATGTTGACACATCGCATTGACTAGACCTGACAAGAAGTCGACGTCGGAGGGGGTGGAGTGAGTCGGAGTGAGTCGGAGTGAAGAAACAAACGCCATCACGCATCGATGACATGTCAGAATCACTTTTGTACGTAATTAGCATGTTATATAAATAACGGAGCCTTCACATCTCTTCTATCTTCCTTCCACAGAAGTGACCGAGTGTCCACAAACAGAGTCATTCTACCATGTGATCGATCAACATCTGTGATGTTTGGTTTTCCGCGCCCCTCACCTGGATTGCCCGCAATCTGCCGCAGCAAAGGGTGCGCCGCCAACTTCTGCAGGACGAGGTCGTTCTTCATCAAGTTCCCGACGGCGGACTCCCGTGGGTCAAGGTCACAGGGCAGAAGAGGGCGATGCATACGCTTCAGAAAAAGCTCTGCAGACCTGGTCGCGAGCGAAAGGAGCCAAAGAAGATGTACAGAAAACACATAGAATCAAATAGATATGATCATATAAATTATGTTAGATTTATTTGGATATAATCTATATATATATATAGAACTCTATAGATATTATGTCAAAACAGATTTGACCGCCCATTTTCCATGAACTGAGGCCACCACTGCACATCTGTCAATGCTCCCAATGGCACGTTGACACACTTGCAAGGTCCCAGGGACTCGTACACTTGCTCTCTGGAGCAAACTACTAGACCTCGAAACGCAGGGACCGTTGGTGCTTCCCCGATGGTCGTGGCGTGTCTAGTTTGCAGGTCCGATGACGATGACAGTGGGGGGGGGTGGCGACACTCGGCTTGCTGTCTGTCTGTGTCCGAGAAAGCACTTAAGGAATTCCCGTGGATCTGCGGCCAAGGAACTCAAATTCCTTGCCTTGGACTGTTTCTGACAAAGCAAACCGTGCAACAGAAATGCAAGAAGCGCAACTACGTGATGTCAACGATGCTGTTTGAGTCACAAACGCAAACGATCTGCGTCATGTTCTCTAAAATGCAGTTACTTGGCATAGCTACATGATGTTGCATGACTTGGAGTCACTTACGGAAGGGAAAAACCCACGGAACCCCAAACGAAATCGTCGATTGAGATCAGAAGCGGAGGGACTCCCAATTTTTGAGCAAAAGAGCTGAGTTCAGCCAAGAGTCTGTCTCCAGCATATTGCTCCTGGGCTCCATGAACAACGGTGTCGACCAAAGCATTTGTTGTAGCAATGAAGGAAGCAACCTAATTACTCTCCAAATCTCTCCAACCTACTCCGCTGTTCTTGTCTGAACTAAGCAGATGAGATCAGATGAGATGATGAGAGCAAAATGAAAAAATAACAGTGATTTCGATGTGCCTCATAGGCACTGATTTGCCGATACTTTACACGTTTGATCACGTTTGTAATTACCTGATTGTACACACCCAGAAATTCCAAGGCTTCGTACTCTGTCGAGATTCAGAAGGCTTCGTACTTGTGGGCTGGCACGCACTGCTCCCGAGCGATCGTCAAGAAGCAAAAGGTATCTATTCCTGCCAGCAAGGCCAGGCGTCTGGCCAGTCTGAGTTCTGCCAGATTTGGTCTCCTAACTCGTTCGTGGGATCTTCCTCATTCGGGCCGCCGGGATCCGGAACCGGCTCTTTCTGCCCGGAGAAAAACCCCGGGGTTCTTCACCCCTTTTCCCCTTTTCTCGTCCATTTCACGCCCCCCCCAAGGCCGGCCTTGTTTGGTCCATCTGCTGTAGAGCCAACAGAACATCTTTCTGACTTCTTGATGTAGTCGTCAGCAGTGGTGGTCGGCGTGATGCAAGAGCTTGAGAAATTCCTGGCGTCCGTGTGGACGAAAACAGGCACGTCATTTCTGGAGTCTGCAGAAGGACTTCAACATCGCTTTCCAATTGATTCGCATACTTTCATATACTTGTCAAGATACTTGTCAATCACCTTGAAACTCTTTTCCTCAAGAGATCAAAGGAAAAAGCGCAGCAAAAGCGCTTAAAATGCGCAGCGAGCTCGCGGTGACTCCGGTCCCGGGACCCATCAGCAGGCGGGTCACGGGGCCTTGAACCACATTCGCCAAGTCTGGTTTGCCATCAATTGGTACATAAAGGACATTCCTGGAGGGAATTCAAGCAAAGATGTGAATGAAGATGTTTGTTTCTTGTGCATGCATCATTATATATATATATAATTTGATAAAACCATCGGCATTTCAGTGAATTGGTTTTGGGCATTAATGGTTTCCGTCCTTGAAAATAGGCGACCAGGTGAAGAAGCAAAGTGGGCAAGTTCAATGGCCTGACAGTGCGGTTGCATCCATCGATGTCGCATCCAGCGACATCGATGGATGCAAAACATATTGTTATTCCACACGTGTTCTGCATCCATTGCACACTACTCGTACCATGCTAAATCCACAATCGTTGTCGAACATATGCGAACACTGGGAAGAGCAGTTCAACCGAAGTCGAACATATGCGAACAGTCACAAGTCACTTATTGCATCTGCTCCCATGTCCAAGGAACAGCCACAGTTTTGCCAATCCCTTCAGGGCCAGAGAGGATGCATGCTCTTCGAGCTGGTTTACCTCACGTCGTCGCACCGGATAGGGCAAGCGTGTGGAAAAACCACATGTTTTGCAACATGCCATCATTGGGGAAATATGGGGTTGTCATGTGATGCAGTCTTATCGTCGTGGTATCTGTACAATTGTGTACATGTCATGACCATCGCCAATCGCATGGACCATCACATGTCCAGGTGGTGCTCAGCTGCAGCTGCTCGATTCAAAGTGTCTCAATATATCACATAGGACCTGGCAACGTCATGTTGTTCCAATGAAGGTCAGGTGAACTCTCAGGGGCATGTGTTTGTGAGATGTTTAAAAGACATGTTTTTTTTCTGAAGTAGGACTCAGGCTGAACTTCTATCGATGTAGTCTTCGACACGGGGTGGCAGGCAAACCTTGGATGACCAGCAAATGAATCAAAACAAAGCAAATATGTCAAATCCCCGAGGGTCAGCAGCTGTGATTGAAAAATCTGACATATCAATGTTACGACGAGTCAGTGACCACAATGCACTTGAACTATTTCGCTTGTTCCGGGTGGTGTTCAAAACACCCTGCCTGACATTTAATGCATGCAAACTGATTTCCTGCGGCTTGGAAACCTTTCAGATTAGTTGGTTAATCGTTTGTACATGACACTGCTGCGAAAATATGTTTCATTGGTGTTGTTTTCTTCCCTTTCCTGTTTTGGACAATCGGATTTTGCTGTGGGTCAAAACCCAAAGCCTCACACCAGGGTAGGTTGACCTCTCAGGAAATCTATTCTGTTCATTTTGGGTTATTAATCTGCCCAATGTGAAGTGTAGGTAGACTACCCTTTTCCCTTGTAGATGGCGGTAGCGCGCTCCTCTTTTCCGCTGAATCTACGGGAGTCTTGAGCCAAATATTGGCATGTCATGCTGTACTGTTCTGTACACGCATATACTATGCCTGTCGCTCCACTGCTATTGACATAAACCTTTCTCAAGTAATGTTGATCACACCTTTGTCATCCAGGAGCCTAGCAGCGATGCCAGGAGCCCCTAGTAGCGTCCTTGCTCCTAGCCTAGCATAGCAGCGATGCCAGGAGCCTTTAGTAGCGTCCTTGCTCCTAGTAGTAAGGCCAGGGGCCCCTAGTAGCGTCCTTGCTCCTAGTAGTAAGGCCAGGAGCCCCTAGTACTATCCTTGCCTAGCAGCGATGCCAGGAGCCCCTAGTAACGTCCTCCTAGCAGCGATGCCAGGAGCCCGCGGTGCCAGGAGCCCCTAGTAGCGTCCTTGCTCCTAGCAGCGTCCTTGCTCCTAGTAGCGATGCGAGGAGCCCCTAGCAGCGTCCTTGCTCCTAGCAGCGATGCCAGGACCCCCTAGTAGCGTCCTTGCTCCTACAGGAGCCCTAGTAGCGTCCTTGCTCCTAGCAGCGATCCCAGGAGCCCCTAGTAGCGTCCTT